TCCTCAGGTTTTCATGTTCAAAAACCTCTTCCTGGGCCAGGTCATGTACTCTCAGGTACCAGCCTACCATCAAGATCAAATCAATGCGCTGTTCACCCGTCCCAACTGGGAGAACAGGAAACCAGCCAGAAGAAACGACCACTGGAGACTTATGGCTGTGGCCTCCTTTGCCAACTACGAATACGCCGTCGCCGCTTACAACGGGTTGTTAAAATTAAGACAAGTCAGAGACGTCCACAAGGCCAGCGAGGCCAAGCAGATGAGAAGAAAGAACGAGGACGGAAACACATGGTACTCTGGCCAGTACAGACCCACCCACCAGCAGGAAGCTGCCGCGGACTTGGCACACGTTATTGACGAGTTTGAGTTGGAAAACACAAAGATCTCCTGGGAGAACATCTGGAGAAAAGGAGATGACTCCCACTGGAGAATGGACTTGATTGAGCACGACACCTTGCCTGCGTTCACGCCCAAGTTCCAGAGTGTGGTGCTTGACGAGATGAGAAGGAAGGGTCTTGACTTTGTGAAGGAGTTGAGGAGCACGGCCGCTGAGGCCCCACAGGCCACCGAGGCCCAGGCTGAGGCCACAGCATAGACTTGTATATATTAAAGACAGCATTCGGAGGGGAAGTGTAGGTCGAGTAGGTCGTTGCTGTTTGATGGTGAAATAGACCTGTTTGATTGTGAGAAGCTTGCCAGTTCTTGGGCTTCTGTTATTGATAACTGGGGTGATGGTTGGGTATTTCAAGGTACGCTTTTGAAAGAAAGGTGAGGTAAAGTGATGACAGCCAATGATCTCAAACAGATACAACTTATTAGAAATATGGATTAATGAAGAGCAGTCTCTACCTTATCAGGAGAATAGGAATGGCATAATTAGCTAAGCTTATCCAATTTGCATCCACCATAGTATACTCACCTATTTGAATTTCATACTTCACCTGATGCTGATGGAAATCCTGGCTGGAAGGCCCTGTCTTTAGTTGTTGATATACCATCAGGGTAGGTAAATCAGGTTCTATAATACAATATTTTGCTTTGAAGCTCTCTAATATCAGATCCATCGTTTGAGGCATTCATGATTACTCTCTCTATCTGGATGTCAGGATAATTCTATCAACTTTCCCTAAAACACATACATTCAATTTAGATCACCTTCCCTGGGTGCCAGAACCACTAACAAATCCCTATCAAAACACAAATAATCCACAGAATCACAAAACGAAAAGCTCGAGCCACTTATTTTGCGACTAGGCTCACAGTCCAATAAGACGCCTCTCAGTGCTAATTAGGCGCTCCATGTAAACAACCGAAACCCACACAAAAGCGGGCGCAAATTAAGGAACCACCGACCCGCTCCACACCGCTCCACAATCCACACTTTGGGAGGAATTCAACGGTGACAAATTAGGGCTGTACTATTTAAGGGCTAGTTATATAAATTTTGTTAAAATAAAAAAAAGATGAAAATACGAAAAAAGGTAAAAAGAATCCAAATCCACTACCTCCCATTCGAGAACCGACGGTTTTTCGTATTTCGCTGCCTGCCACAGTGAGCCACGGCTGGGGCGGATTTTCGCAACCGCTGCTTCAACTGTGGCTCCCACCACAGCGACACCACGCCAAAACACGGGAACAGCGGACCACCAGGGGCAACTTTGCCGTGCAAAGTCGATGAAAATGTGCAAATTGCAGTCTTTCGGCCTCCCCAGCGCAAATTAATGGGGTTCTACGTCCCGGAAAGCTGGAACAAAACCCGTGCACCACAGCCCAGGCCGAAGTTTCGGCTGCAGCGCCGGGCGCCCAGTTGCCTAATCAGGTGACCTCCGCTGCCGACCGCTCGGGCCCGCCGCCGCACTTTTTTGCCCATTTTATATATAAGCCCTTGCGAAGAGAAAAGGTGACAGAAAAAGCGGATTTCATCGAAAAAAGAGAAAACACGGCCCACAGCGTTTGGATTTGAAACAAACGAAAAAAAAAAAAGTCTGACTTGTGGCAAAGTCAAATTATCATCATCATCCTTCAAAACGGCATTTAGCTGACCTCCTGTTCCACGGAATTGTCCTGGCTCTCGAGGACTCATCGGTCACAGCCTCTGCTATTCATATCTACAACAAGCGGATTTTGAAGGCGAGCTAGGTCATCTAAACCAAAAAAACAAAAACTTCAATCTATCCACTCGATTCCCGGAGGTCACAGCCCAGATCTCCGAAATCATAGCTCCAAACCAAAGGCGGGTTCTCATCAAACATGGACTACTACTACCGCCGGCTGATGGGCAACGGCACCGTCACGTCCAAGTTCCGTATTTCCAGCACCCCGGACGAAAAACCCCGCTTTGCTGCCTCCAAGGTGGCTCCAGTGGAAAACGGCGCAACCCACCACCCTTCCAACTGTGTTCGCTGCTACAAACTCAAGAAAAAGTGCTCGAGAACGTACCCAAAGTGCCTTTACTGTACCAAGGCGGGCTCTGAATGCGAGTACATCGACCGCAAGGTCAAGAAGCCATGCGTAGAGAAAGCGGTGGTTCCAAAGTCGGTCTCCATCGCTCTGTTGGTGCACTCTGAAGAAACAGAGCAGCCGTTTGAGAATATCGAGCTACCGCCCACGGAACAGCTGGCGTCCAAAAGCGCTATCGCAAAGAAAATCAACAACAGGGCCATCTCCAGACAGCCCTCTGCGGGTCCTCCGAACTTGCTGGACGAGTTTTTGGTGGTCAAGCCTATAGAGGACGAACTGCTTCCGCTGGCGTTCGTGCGGGCCTATTTCGCCAGTTACTCGTGGAGATACCCTGTGGTTGACCAGCGGGCTTTCAACCAGTCCTTTGAGGCAATCTCATTTAATACGGAGACCTTGGTGCCGCTAGACGTGTACTTGGTCATGGCCGTCGGATGCATCGTTTTCGACTGCAACCACGGCACCTCTCACTACAACACCATCTTCAGCGACAAGATGATCGAGTCCATCGTGGATATCATCACATACGACCCGGAAACGGATACCCAGTCCTCCACGCTACTAGTGCTTCTCTGCATCTACGCCGTCAACGCAAGCAACAGAGACTTGGCCTGGAGCATTTTGGGTTTCCTTAACCGCAGCATCATCTACAAAACCGACTTTCTCGGCACCTCCATGGGCTTTTCCAAGAACGTCTTCTGGGCTGTTCACAACCTTGATAGAGAGCTCAGCTTGATGCTCAACAAGCCTAGTCAGTTTGTTCCTGTTTCGATCATCAGACAGAGCACAGACTTTTCAGACATCGAGAGCGACGAAAACTTGGCCACCCTCATGACCAAGGCCGTGGAGCTTCACAAATTGCAAGACCGTGTGTTGTCACTCAAACTTGGTTTGCAAGCCAACACCAAGGATGCTCTTCGGCAGTTGTCGTCCGACTTGGAGTCTTGGAGGGTTTCAGTGCTGCTGGTGGTTCATAGCGAATATGCTGACCTGCCTTTGCTCACCAGAGTGATTGGCGTGGTTCACTTGGACTACTACTACTTGCTCATTGAAATTGACCAGCTTTCGTCGACTGAGTCATTCCAGTTCACGCTTCAGTTCCTTTCGAACTCGTTCAGCTTGTTGCTCAACGAACTGTCCAGCAACAAGGACGTCTCGGGCATTTCGCTCTACCTGTTCTTCTGGTTCCTGAAGTTCTTCAAGGTGATCGACTACAACTTGAACTCGCTTTTGAAGACGTTGCACAACAAGGAGGTTCCCAGAAGCGATGTGAGCCTTCGTCTCAGTGACTTCAACGGAAACTTGCAGTTGATTGTCAACCTCCTCAAGTACTTGCTTAATAGCTCTCAGAGCCCCGAACAGTACAAGCCAAAGATGACGAGCTGGGTGAAGCGTCTCACGCTTCTTAACATCAAGCTCATGGGTAGTGATATCCTCAGTGCGTCTGAGGAGCAGTACAACGACTTGCTTGCCAAGGTCGACAGCATCTTGAGCGAGTAATTTATAGATAATGAGAAACGATACACGGGGATTATTTGTGTTTGTTGTGGTGTAGAAACAGGTGTTTGGGTAAGTGCTCACTGTTGTTGAGAATCTAAGGAATGAGATATACCAGCACAAACATTGTTTGAGGAGCTAATAATGACTTCACATGGTAGTTTCGTATTTCTTTATTATCTTGAGGGCTAATAAGAAAATTTATAGTGTTTCCTTCAGGCTTTGGGCACTCTTAAACGGTAATTAATGTTTAAATGGGAATTTTACTCCTTAATGAGCCGCTTTCACCAACATTTTAAACAGTGGTATGATAGAGAAAAATTATAACAAAATATATATACAATTTAATCAGAGTAGAGAGTCACTTTTGGCTCAATAATAGCAGGTAAATACGCTGATTATCTCGCAAAATGTGTTTTGTTAGTGAGATGTTACACTTTTACACCCGTACCTCAGAACGTCAAAAGTGTTTTTTTCGCATAACCTAGGCAATTTTGTATGAGAGCACCAAAACGAGCGTAATACTGTGAAGTACTGCCTCAGATTGGGTCTTCAAGGCCATACAATGCACTATCTATCTAACATCAAAGCTAGGATAAAATTGAAAATCGAAACATTTAATCACTTTTGAATAAATAAGAAGATTCGCTGAATCCAATAAACGAAAAAAAAAAAAAAAAAAAAAGAAAAGACAGCCCAGCTTGTGCTTCATTATTCGCTTCTACAGTGGTGCTTCAATTACACCGATTAACAAGATAGCACAAGTGATTCATACACTTGCTAAGAAAAGAATACTTCTATTTTTGAAAAAAATAAATCGTCTTCAAAAACTGCCCTCCCCCATATGCCAATCATTTGGCAACCCACCACCCCAAAAACATACTACTTCAACCTCACCACCTACCCTTTAACCACCTTCCATCTATTCTAACCACCTCTGCACCGACACTCCCGTTTCCTTACTACAATTTACTTTAACACTCTACAGCAATCCCTCCTACAATCCCTAAACATCTTCACAACTTTATCACTCTAAAAATCTCTACTCACAAAAACGACAAGGCACCTCCGACGGCGGCAGCAACAACAGCGAAAAACGGCATGATCTTGCCGGAGCCAGAATCGCTGTGGTACCATGGGCTAGGGCCCGTTCCGTTGGTGCCGTTGGCAGAAGTGGACTCCGCAGCCACAGTGATGTGGTCAAGAGTGGCCGTGGAGTAGTAGTACTCGCTGTTGGTGGAGTTGATCAACAACACATCGCTCAAGAAGGTCGAGGAGTAAAGAGGAGCGGCGGTGGCGCTGGGGATGCCGTCGCTGATGGTGACAACGTGGGAACCTTCCTTCTCTCTCTTTTCCTCACCGGCAGCCTGGGCCAAGGCGATCTCGTAGTTGTCAAAGTCAAAGACGGCGTAGGCGCTTCTGAGGAAGACGTCGCCCAAAATGGCACTCTCGTTGCCGCCGTCAAGAACACCCAAGAAACAGCCCTCGCTCCAGTCGTCCAACTCGTTAGGGTATATCAAGTCCTTGAGGGGCACCTTGATGTCGATGCCGCTGAACTTGAACTTGATCTCTTCTTCGGAGTGGAGCAAGTCGCAGGAAACGTTGTACTGGTATCCCTCGTCCCAGTAGACACCGTCGGCTTTCTCCACAAGCGGGTCGATGTAGGTCTGGGGCAAGTAGGCCAAGGTGGTACCGGTATCGAGAAGTGCAACAATGTCCTGGTCCACCTCGAAGCCTTCGCCGTGGATACCGTTCAAAAGGACATTGGTTCTGATGGGGTTCTTAACGCCCAAGGCGTAGTACTCGTTGATGATGGGCAACTTGGTCAATGGGCCTTCGAACCTGGAGGTGTCGTAGCCGCCAAAAAGGACCTCACCTTTGGAAGCGTTGTTCTTGCCCAACCACACGGAATAGGCATTGGCCTTGGTGATGTCCAAGTTCTTAAGACGCAATGGCAAGTTCTCGTACTCGTACGATCTGTTGGGGTGACGAATGCTCACGGTACCCTCAAGACCAGGCAAGCCGATACCCAACACACCGATATCGGAGTCAGTGTAAGGAGCCACACCGAAGGAAAGGCTTTCGACGTTCTGACCAGCAATTTCAACGTCGTCGTTGGCCCAGTAGCCAAGCGCATACGAGTTGTCGCCGTACAAGACGTAGAAAGGCTGCTCGGTCTTGTTGGCTTTGAAAGAGTCCGAGGAGTCGGTTGCAAACGAGCCGTAGGCCGTGCAAGCCTCGGTAGCGTAGTAGTAGTTTGAGGCGTTTTCGCCCAAGGAAACCACTGGGTTGTTTGCCAATTCGAAGGAAACGAGCGAGGAGAATTGGGGGATCAACGAGTCGGCTCCGGAAATGAAGCCAGTGTAGATCTCCTCAGACGAAGTTGGCGTGGGGGCCTCCGAAACAGATTCCTCCTCCTCCTTCTCTTCAACATCCCTCTTGTAGCCAAACAATTGGGACTCCGAACATGGAGAAGTAGCGAACCAGAGGTCCGACGAACCGGTATCCACCAATACCTGGACCTCCTGCTTACCCGATCCAACTTTCAAAGTGGTCAAGTAGAAATAGGCCTCGTTCGAGATGGGCACATTCAAGGTGTCGTCTCTCTTCTGCCTGGCAGGAACCTGCCTTGCTGGAATGCGGTGGTGCTCTGCAAACTGCTGAGCTTCCTTGCCTCTAAGGATGTCAAAGTCAAGCAAAACGGTGGCCTGGGCAATGCCAGCCAACACGGGAAGAAGGTAGGCGAACTTCATGTGTGGTGAAAAATCTTAGCAAAAATCGGCCATTTTATACACTTTGTGGAGTGGCTGGTTATGCCGCATGGCAGAACGGCTCGGCTTATCTTATGGCACTTTTGGCAGCCGTGTGCATGGAGTGGCTCGCTTAAGCCCTTTCAGCTGCATGAAGCTGTCAAGGTGGATAAACAACCACACCTTTTGGAACAAAACGATGCCAATGCCAAATTAATGCAATGGAGAGAAATGGATTCAGAACAGCCAAAGTAAATTCATAATTCTCACGGCTCCGCCGCCCGGGCAGCTGGCAAATCTGTGGGAGCACGTCGGAAACGGAAATGCAATCACATCCCAAAACAGAAGGGCCACAGTTGGTGCGTTTGTGCCTCAAAATCCCAAGAGCCTATCAGGGGTCAGCATAGCCGAATACCCGGAACGGCTCTACACCTTTGTGGAAGAGATAAGGCCCAAGCGGGCAATGTGTTTGGGGCGTCGAATGCAACTTCTACAGCTTGCGTAATCTTTCAGGCACATGCCGGGAATGAGATGGACTGGCGATCACACGATAGCAGTGGAGCAGCACCCACTGCATGAGATTTTTTGCAATTGGCGGTTGCTGTGGTGTGGATGCTATTTGGAAATTTAGGGTTTGGGTTTTGTGCTACGTGGTGGAGACTTTTAGGGGGCAAGTTGGTTGTATGGTTTGTGGACATCAAATGAGTGAGGCTGTGAAGATGAAGGCTTATGGTGAAAACGGTGAGATAAGACAGACGGCCGACAGCGTCCTTCCAGAGCCTTTCAAAGCCCACTTTAGAAACATCTCCAAAAATCCAAAATGTGAAATTTCCATGAGGTGAAACTGCCATGGAGTGAAATTTCCATGAGGTGAAACTGCCATGGAGTGAAATTTCAATGGAGTGAACCATCGCTGTTGGTCCAATTTTTCACCTCATCTCCCCCACACTTTCTCAACAGCCCACTCAACGAAGCTGGAATCTACATACCACTTTTTCAAATCAACAACCCCAAATCAAAATCTCCAAATCCAAAATCCCCAAATCCAAAATCCCCAAATCCAAAACACCCCCCAACCCCCCCACCCACCCCCCCCCCCCCAA